AAAAAAACCCAAAACATACAAAGTACCTGTATAATAATGCTTACATTTCTAAATTGACAGCCAACGCACACCCGAATATCCGGATAATGGCGTTCGTATCCGGCTATATCCGGCAATCTTTGGCGCCAAGCTCTTGGCGGGCTTTGCTCACTTTGTCCAGTCCAGTCCAGTCTGAAAGATGCTCAAGGGGCAGAAGATGAAGAACCTTACAGACAGTGAGTGCAACAGCATGGTTCAACACCTGCTATTGCGTTGCACCAAAGCCGGCAAGATACCCATGGGAGCGGCGGACGAAGTGGCTCAGTTGTTCGACTGCACACCATCAACCGTTCGCCGTATATGGCGTCGTGCGTCCGTGAACCTCTCAGGAATCAAGACCATCTGTCGCAACGTCAGCCAGCGCAAGAAGAGGACATGTGGACGAAAGCGCCTACACAAGGACCTGCCGAAGCGCATCCAAGCCATACCGCAGTCAAGGCGCTACTGTTTTCGCTCGTTAGCCCATGCCCTGGGCATGCCAAAGTCGACCCTGCACGACTACTTCAAGCGAGGCGTCTTTGCAAAGTACTCTAGTGTCCTCAAGCCTGCACTAACGGAGTCCAACAAGGTGTGCCGCTTGAAGTGGGCACTCGATCATATTTGCGACCGCGACGGCGCCAAGTACTTTGACGACATGTACGACACCGTCCACGTAGACGAAAAGTGGTTTTTCATGCCTCGGGTCCATAATAAGGTCTACGGAGCCATTGGAGAGAAGATCAAGCAGCTGGCTTGCAAGTCCAAGCATCACCTTCTCAAGGTCATGTTCTTGACGGCTGTTGCCCGCCCACGTTGGGACGAGACGTCTGGGGAGTGGTTTGACGGCAAGTTGGGGACGTGGCACTTTTACCGAAATCGTCCCAGCCCAACGCCGGAGCAGTCGGCGTGACGCTGGGACACCGGTCATGAAGACTGTATCTGTAACTCGTGAGACGTACAAGGCAATGCTGGTGGACAAAGTCATACCTGCAATCCGTGCCAAGTGGCCTCGCGGCGAGACCAAGGCAGTCAAGATCCAACAAGACAATGCCCGGCCCCACGTTCCTCCAAGTGATGTTGATGTCGTTGCTGCATGCAAGGCGGATGGCTGGGACATGGAAGTGGTATTTCAACCGCCTAATTCACCAGACCTCAATGTCCTGGACCTCGGATTTTTCCGCGCCATTCAGGCCCTCCAGGCCGAAAAGCACTCGAGTAGTCTTGAGGAGATTGTGGCTGCCACCGATGCTGCGTGGGATGTGGTCAGTACCAAGACACTCAACAAGAACTGTCTCACCCTGCAGAGATGCCTCCAAGAGGTTATTCTCAATAAGGGTGGGAATGACTATAAGATCCCACATATGAGAAAGGATGTATTGCATGCTCGAGGCAAGTTGCCAGGAATGGTTTCTTGTGATAGAGATGCTTGGAGTTTTCGTTGTGCGTACTTAAATGGTGCAGACTATTCTGCCCACATGCATAAGCTGTCACTTGAAATCCTACAGAGCATGGAAATGAGTACATTCTGCACTCAGATAGAGGCGCTAAACATTGTCGATGATACGGACGCTGACAATAACCTCGTCGCGGCTTTAGGTCTTGTAGAGTTATTGTCGAATAAGGTGTAATTGTCCGAATACAAAAATGTGTATTCTTTCTCGGAAATTCGATTTTCAAAAACGTGCATTCATAATCGGACAGAGGTAGTATGTATTATGGAATTCGTAAGGTGGCTGTGCTGATTATTAACCAATCAGAGTGCATCATGGTTTCTATACCATATAATTAATTGGCCACGACGATCATTTTTATCGACTTCAAAATGAAGTTCCCAGCGACTCAAACAACTCATGCCAGCATCAGCTTAATGCTCATCTCAGCAGTCATCGCACTCTCGTGTACTCTCACTATCATTTTTCCATCGTATTTAGTCCTTGTTTTGTAAACTCTACCCAATGAAGTCACATCGAATGGTCGATGCGAATATCACGTTAACGTTAGGAGGACCAGCAGCACCACTACTACAGTGAACCCCGGAAAAAGCTGACATGGTTCAATCTTGAAATGTATGGAGGATTGAATAAAACCTATCTATTTTATTATGTTGTGAAAACTACATCTGGTTGACTATAATATTGACCATTTAACATGCAACAAGCCAATCACAATCTAAAAGCCACTTTGGTCTAACAATTGAGATTTGTGAAATAATTTCGCGCCTATGACATAGTACTATTACTACACCTTTTTTCTATTGACTTGGGACTTTTTTCAACGTTGTTGGCTTGGCGCTCATTCGAAAGGGCGATGTGTCCATTCATTTGGCCTTGTGGCCAATAGAATTGACACTTAGTGCCGCAACACCCTTTGAAATGTACCATACTACCAATGGAAAAAAAAGGCTCCACTACCCAACAATGTGCCAAGTAGCATTTCGAATCTGCCGT